ACCCCTAACCCTAACCCTAAACCAAACCCTAAACCTAAACCTAAACCTAACCCTAACCCTAACCCTTAACCTAACCCTAAACCTAACCCTTAACCTAACCCTCAACCTAACCCTAAAACAAACCCCTAACCCTAACCCTAAACCAAACCCTAAACCTAAACCTAAACCTAACCCTAACTCTAACCTAAACCTAACCCTAAACCTAACCCTTAACCTAACCCTCAACCTAACCCTAAAACAAACCCCTAACCCTAACCCTAAACCAAACCCTAAACCTAACCCTAAACCTAACCCTTAACCTAACCCTAAACCTAAACCAAACCCTTAACCTAACCCTTAACCTAACCCTAAACATAACCCTTACCTTAACTTAAATCACGCTTCTGTCGGCGTGCTGTTGTCGCCGCGTTGATGATGTCACGTTGATGACATCGCAGTTTTAGCGCCGTGGTTTTGTCGGCGCGCTTTTGTCGTGCGCGTATTTGTCAGGTCACGATAAGGAAGGTCGTTTTTTTTTTTTTCAACTGCTTTCTAAAAAAAAATACGGAGCCCAGAAGGAAAACTCATCCTGCAATCTGCATTTTGGTTCGTTCCTTTGCGTGATTCACAAGTGTCATTCCCGGACTTTTTCTTACGGCTTCTAAATGTATATCCCACAATCTTTACGGTCTTTTTTCCCTCCTCCTCCTTCCCGTTCTGTCGTTAGCTTGGTTTTCTTACTTCAGTCCACTGGTATTCTTCATTTTTTTTTTTCCTTCTCAATCGTGTTGGTGGATCGTAATCGATCCATTTTCCCTCTCGGGCTGCCCTTTCTAAAGCTGGAAAGTCTGTGAATCTGTAAGAGATCTGTCCCTTTAGGTCATACACCGATCCTCCTATTTTCATTTCCTCCATTTGTTCCTCTGCCAATCCTGCAAAATATTGTTTTGCTGCCAATTTCGAAAAACCCCGCTCTCTTTTTCTCATTCATATCTCCCGAAACGCTTACAAGCACTCAATATTGAACAAATTTGCACTGAACATTATTGGTGATACTGGGAAAAGAGGCTACTGTTCAATCCAGGGGTTCCCAAACGTGGCAACTTTAAGACTTGTGGACTTTAAACTCCCAGAATTCTCCAGCCAGCTATGCTGGCTGGAGAATTCTGGGAGTTTAAAGTCCACAAGTCTTAAAGTTGCCAAGTTTGAAGACCTCTGGTTTAAACAAACCTCATTCAGTTACCAACAAGCATGTTTTAAAAAGTGCTGGAATAATACTTTCGAAATCCGAGAAGATAAATGTTATAAAGACGCCAATGCAGGCATTTTCCAGCCTGTTATGTGTGTGTGTGTGATTGCTTCTTTGGACGTGTGCAAGTTTCTACATTGATACTGCCAGCAGAATCTCTCCGTATCCTTGTGAAAACAACACAGTTATTTCCCGTTAAACGTCACTTATTGCAATAGCTGTGTTATTCAGAAGTGCCACAGCCCCACAAATGCAAAAACCTTAGAATCAGGAAATTTAAGCTTGTTTCTGGACAGTGTTGACACGGTCTCAAGGGAGATCATTATATCCTAACGGCTTCCTGGGTAGTTTGATTTCGGTCTCCTCTTGATGAAGGCCTAGCTGATCACCAGGGTAATAATTCGATAATAAGAGCGCCTGATTAAATTTAGAGTCCATTTGCCGAGCAGCGAAAGAAGGCGGAGGGGAATAATTGAGCCCGTTTAGGGTGTAATAGCCAGGAAGAGCTTAAACAGGAGGGGGAAATAAACCTTTAAATAGAGCAGTGACGTGTTTTTCAGGCTAAAGGCAGGCATAATGCAAGATTTATTTAGTTTATTTATTTAGTTTCTCAAACCTGTAAAAGATAACAGGTGTAAGTATGAATATGGACAAAGGAAATGAGTACGAATGAATTGGGTGCAGCCGGACAGGGGCGGAAGGCACGCTGGTGCGCTTATGCGCATCCCTTTTACGGACCTCTTAGGAATGGGGTGAGGTCCACGGTAGACAATTTAAGGTTGAAACTGTGGGGGGTTTGAGGATGTAACAAGGGAGTTGGGGAGAGCATTCCAGGCGTTGACCTCTCTGTGGCTGAAGTTGTATTTTCTGCAATCGAGTTTGGAGCGGTTGACCTTGAGTTCGTATCGATTGTTTAAGTTTTATTTTATTTATATGCCGCCCTATTCCCTAAAGGGACTCAGGGCGGCGAACAACGTAAACGGGAAGGGGAAACATCCAAGTACAAAA